GCTCAAGGAGAACACTGATGTAAGAGCTCACCAAATGGAGATTTGGATCTTGCTCGGCCCTGCTCATCTGTTGACGAGGTCTTGGGGCAAGCTCAGGTTATTCACGCCCTTGTTTTTCAAACTTTGATGTAAAATGTAGAATGTAGAACTCCCTTTATTTCTCCCCCTTCTTGTCTGAATTTATTCAGAGGAGCTTCTAACTTTTTGATATTGTATGGGGAGCTTCATATAAAATAGCAACACATATATATTTATAATCATGAGCGCAAATGAGCAAAATAGAATGATTATGCTATATATAAAAAATGAGATGGCAAAATGATATCATGTATGCAAAAACAAGTGCATAATGAATGGAAGAAATGTAGAATGAATGCAAGAAATACAGAAAGCAATTAATAATAAATTTTAATATAAGGTTGGACCAAGCTTGGACCAAGCTTGGACCAAAGCTCTAGTTTGCTGCGGAGCTTGATTGCTTTCTTGACAACCTGTATCACCAGGACTTGAAAAAAAGAGAAATCAAAGGCATCCAATCTTATAATCAAGAAAGTATACTTCCTTCATACATATTAATGTAAAATTTATACCTTGATATTATTGATATTGGATGAGTTTTATGAAATTTTACTTAATTTACATAATTTTCATGCTTTGTCCTGGAAAGGACTTAATTGGAAGAAGTCACAATTTTTAGGAGTAAATTGCAAAGATATGAAATTTGAGGATTAAATTGTGCAGAATCCATAAGTAAGGGATTGGGACTGTAATTTTACCGTTAACAGAATTTGCAAAGAAGGACAAAAACCCGACACGGACTCTTCGACACTGATGCAGAAAAGGTGTCGACACATTGTTGAGGGTGTTGACCCTTTGCGATTCATGCTGCACATCTTTCAGGTCGACCTTGGGTAGGATATTTGCATCTCTGCAGCTCGTTCTCGAGCAGGTTGCATGCAGCTCGTGCTCCACATCTTTTAGCTCGACCTCAGGTAGGATGCTTGCAGCTCGGCATCTCGTACTCGACAGATCGTGCTCGAGTTCATCATGCTTTTGAGCTCAGCAGCTCGTGCTGCAGTTCTGCATCATGCCTTTGAACTTGGCAGCTCGTGCTTGAATTCTGCATCGTGCTTTTGAGCTCGTCAGCTCGTGTTTGAATTCTGCATCGTGCTTTTGAGCTCGTCAGCTCGTGAGCTCGTGCTTGAGCAAGATGCAACTCCTGCTCCACATCTTGCAGCTCGTGCTTCAGCACTTCACAACTCATGCTCCAACAGTTCACTGTTCGTGCTCTTGCAGACTTCGCAACTCGTGCTGCAGCAAGGATTTTGCAACTCGTGCACCAGCAGGAAGTTCGTGGCTCATGCTCCAGCTGGGACTGTCATACTGGCAAGCTGCCGAGTCAGGGACTCATCTCTTGGATTCTGCAAGAACAAATTCAAGAAGGAGGAAGATCCCAACTTTCTTTTCAGTAAAAGAAAATAAAACAACATCCAAAATAAAGTAAAATAATAAAAGATTAGGATCTATCTCCCCAGTAATTGTAGAGCTATAACCAAGCTCAAATGGTTTATTGCCCAGGGATGCTTGTGGTCGAAACCCGCGTCTCCTCGTTGGTTT